ATATACCTAATGTTTTTTGTGTTGTGGCCAGAAGTATAAATAAATATTTGTATACCGTTTGGGGAGGCAAGGTTTTTGGGGGTGATTTTTGATTTGTATTTGTTTTTTGGAGACAGGGTTTCCCTGTAGCCACAGCTGGCCTGGAACTTACTATGTAGACCAGGTTGACCTCAGTCTCAGAGAGCCACCTGCCTCTGCCTCCCGAGTACTGGGATTATATGTATATGCCATCCTGTCTGGCTCAAAGTTTATTTTTCATGAGTAGTGCTGGGTGTTGAACCCACAGCCTCACATAGGCTAGGCAGACATTCTACCACTGAGATATGCCTGCTTCCCCCACACTACCCTTCACATGCTTCAGAACCTTTGATAGAAGAACACTGCCCCCACAGCTACCCAGCTTCACCTACACTTCCTGTTTCTCTCTGATATGTAGACAAACCAGTGATGGGGGTGATGAGGCGATGACATCGTTTCTTCCCCAGATCATGGAGGACACCCAGGCTGTTTGCTGGGACGATGATGATGATGAGGAGGAGGACAAGAAGCAGCAAGAGGGGACAGAAGGATCCAGGGAACCCCTGCAGTGTAAACTGGAGCCTGTAGGGCAGCTGCACATCTTCAGCAGTACCCATGGACCAGAAACAGGTCAGGAGACATTGAGAGCTGAATTATCGCTGCTTTCTCATAGAATCTGGTAGTCGGAGGGTTGATAGAACGTTAATGTGTCTCAAAGAAGGCCTGAAAAATTGTTCTAGTAGGACTATATAGAAGGCTGTTTGAGTTGATTGCTCCAGGCTAGTACCCTATATTTACTAGGAGTGATTTTCTATTGGCAGGGGAAAAGGAAGATTCAAATAAAAATGCAATGTGAGTGGGGCGGTGGTCACACCTTTAACCCAGAACTCTGGAGGCAGAGGCATGCAGATCTTGAGTTCCAGACCAGCCAGGGCCACATAGTGAGACCCTGTCTCAAAAAAACAAACAACCCTGCAGATGGGTCATGGTGGTAGTGGCAGGACAGTGTAACTTAATGCGACTGAATTGTACACTTAGAATGATTAAGATGGTTCAATTTTTATTACATTCTATTTAATTACAACAAAAACATCTACAGCACATTCCTGTAATCCCAGCAATCAGGAGATAAAAGCAGGAGGATCTAATGTTTGAGGACAGCCTGGCCCACATAGTAAGTTTGAAACCAGCCTGGGTGACATAGTGAGACCCTGACTCAAAACAAGGGCTGAGAATGTAGCTCAGGGGAAGAGTGCTTGCCTAGCATGCCTGAGGCGCTGGGTTCAAGTCTCAGCACTGAAAAAAAAACCGTGAGTGGATTGAATACTACAGATGAATAAAGTATTGTAAATAATCTTCCTTGCCTGTATAACCTCAGGCTTTTTATTTATTTAATGCCCGTTAAGGGCTTTGAGTGAGTAGTAGGGTACCTAACTAGAACATCTTCAGGCTGGGACTCTGGCTCTGACAACCTGTCTCCTCTCTGGTCCTTAGATTTCCCACTCTACCTTGGCAAGAATGTGGTCGGCCGAAACCCTGACTGCTCTGTGGTCCTGCCTTTTCCATCCATCTCCAGATGCCACGCGGAGATTAAAATTTCAGCTTGGGACAAGGCACCTCTTCTCCAGGATTGTGGGAGCCTCAATGGTACTCACATTATCAGGCCTCCTAAGGCCCTAGGCCGTGGGGTGAGCCATCGTCTGAGAGACCAGGAATTTTTTCTGTTTGCCAACTTGCCCTGCCAGTACCGTCACCTAAATGTCCCGCTGCACTTGGTCTCCCGGGGCCCTCTCCTCATAGAGGAGACCCCCAGACTACAGGGAAGATCCCAGTCTTCCAGGGTTCTGTTGGCGGAGGACTCAGACGAGGAAAGGAGTAAGTTTGTGCTTTGGATGGGTGGGTGAAGAGACAGGGATGATGTGTGTAAAATGGTCAACTTATTCCTTTCTGTTCTTACCAGGTTTTCCTTCAGGAAGGCGTGTGGTAAATGGATCAAGGACCGTGTCCTCCCCTACAGCAACAGTAGTTCCAGAAAGGTGAGTACCAAAGGGCCAGACACCTGAATCTTCTGCTTTTGTCTTTTGAGACAAGGTCTCTAGTCAGGGCTGACCTCAGGCTCATGGAGTGCTGGGATTATAGGCATGAGCCACCATGCCCAGATTTAGATACCTGAGCTTTTAAAAGAAGGAAGAGCAGGAGCGGTGGTACATACCTTTAATCCTGGCACTTAGGAGCCAGCCTGGTCTACATAGCAAGATCCATACCAGTTGGGGCTACAGGGAGACCCTGTCTCAGAAGGAAAAAGGCAGAAGACCAGGGCCTAAAAGGTCACTTTCTTAAGAGAGGGTGTCTTGGAAGGTGGGACTGCAGGACTGCACATGATTATTGACTAGCTGAATTAAGTTAGGATGAGCACCTCTGATGTACTCAGTGGAGAGGGGAAAGCACCTCCACCTGTGTCTGTCCTCAGTGAGCTCAAACCTGAGTGGTCCCTATCCAGGAAGTACATGCTCTAGATTGTCTCTCTTCACAGTGATGAAGAGGGGCCTTCTCCAGATGTCTCTGGGTCATGTTTGGCCTTCAAGATGGACAGTGACACAGAGGAAGAACTAGGTCAGCAATCAGGAGTCGGGGCGGCCCCTGCAGAGGCGGGAAGGGCAACAGGCATCCAGCTGGTAAACATTCAGCCTACCAAGCAGAGGTCCAAAGACACAAAAGTCAAGAGGAAGGCAGGCAGCGGTGTGGCTGTTGGTTCCATCCTGGAGAGGTGCTCCCATCTTGGGCAGGACAGTGACACAGATGTGGATGAAGAGCACCAGCCTTCTGGCTTTGTGGACAGTGATACGGATGTGGAACAGATCCCTGCCACCCCAGTTGTAGTTCCTGTGAGGAAGAGGCTGGCCCTGCATGGAGTCAGTACCAGGGGTCCTGGAGCATCCGCTGTGGCACATCTACAGGACAGCCCAGCTGGTGGTGTCAGGGACATGGAGGAGGGTGCGGCCCCTCACGCCAGTACTTTGGAGAGAAGCCACATCACTGTGGTGATCAGCAGCGACACAGATGATGAGGAAGCAGCCTCAGTGGCACTCACCTTGGCCCATCTGAAAGGGAGCAGTGCTGGAGCTGCTTCGTGGAGCAGAGATCCAGCTGTGGGGGAGGCCCAGCTGCAGGTCCTGCAGCAAAGCCAAAGTGCCTCTGGCAGAGACAGTGACACAGACGTGGAAGACGAGGGACCGCCAGGGTGCAAGAAAGAGACTGTCCCCAACCACCCCGTGGACAGAGGTGGGGCCCCTGTCTTAACACACACATTCAAAAGAGAGCCGGCATCCCCATAGGCCCAGTGATATAGATAAGGATGTGGATGTGAGCATCCCTGGGAGCCAACTAGAGAACACCCAGGCCTCCTTGGCCATGATAGGCAACCATGCAGAAATGGAGGAGGAAGTCCAACCAGGGCGAGCTGTCCCTCTAGGAGAGAAGTACCAGGTGCCTGTGGAGGGGACACACCAAACAGATGTGGGAGCCGAGAAGGTGCCTCTAGAGGAAGCCAGGCCTCCTGGGAAGGACTGGAAAACAGATGTGGCGAAAGGCCTGTTCTCAGTAGTGGCAGGTATAAGAAACAGCTTCCAGCAGCAGGGGATGCTCGGACAGAGTGGGCTCCAGCTGTTCTTGAGCAGGAGAGTACTCTTCAGGAGGGGGCACAAGGCAGGTCACCTGTGGCACCAGTAGAGCAGGTGGTGGTGTACACAGGCACTCCAGGGGAACCTACCCAGCCACAGAGAGGGGGAACCCAGACCCCCACAGGAAGGGAGAGAGAAGCACATGTGGGGGGGACTAAGAACTGCACAGACCACTGTGATGGTAAGTGCTGCCCTCTGCTCCATCTTGACCCTTGAAGTAAACTGGCTGGCTGTAAGGGTTAGGGAGAGATGTAGAGGTAAAGCAGGAGCTAAGGGTCAGATACTGTTTTTTAGTTATCTATTCTGTACCCATCCCCACCAGATTCTGAAGATCTGTGCCTTCCAGAGACCCAGTGCTTTGTGAAGAGGGAGAGGGAGAGCCCAGAAGGTGAAGATACTGGGTTGTCTGAATCCTGGTGTTGGTGTGGTTTGGGCAGTTAGACTGGTGGTCTTTGAAGGGTGTAAAGGCCAGGCCAGTGTGGGCAGGGCAGGAGGCGGGGAAGAGACCCTGGGGACTCTGCAGGGAAGCTGGCTCTAGCCGTCTCTTCTTGTGCAGCAGTCCCGAGCTTGGAAGATGAGCCAACCCAAGCCTTCCTGTACGTTCTCCCCCAGGAGCTTGACAGTTCCCACTGCAGGTTGCGGACTCCAGGTACAAGAAGTTGTCTTTAACCCCATCTGTGCATCTTGCTTTTTGTTTTGTTTTGTTTTCTTATTTTTAAGTACACGAGTGTTTTGCCTGTAAGTGCACCACATGTGTTCAGTGCCCACGGAGGCCAGAAGTGGGCATTGGATCCCTTGGAACTGGAGTTACAGGCAATTGTTAGCTGCCATGTGGGTACTGGGAATCAAACCAGTACCCACACGGTCCTATGTAAGAGCAGCTGGTGCTCTTAACCACTGAGCCGTCTCTCCAGCCCCAGCATCTTGTTTTTGAGACAAAGAGGAGCTTACATGGTCCAAACTGGCTTCACACCTTGAACTTCTGACCCTTTCCCTCTGGCTCCAAGGCTGGGATTATAGGTGTGTGCCACCACACCAAGCTTTTACGGAGCTATGGTTCATGAGTGCGGCGAGCACACTACCAACTGACTGCCCCAGCCTTACCTTTTGTATTCTTCTGCTATGTTGTTGACGTTTCTCCATTGCATCAGGGAAAATGGATCCCAGACAGGGTGACACGCACTTGTAATTCCAACACTTGGGAGGCAGAGGCAGGAGGATCAGGAGCTCGTGGTCACCCTTGGCTGTGTAGCAAGTTGGAGGCCATCCTGGGCTACATGAAACCTTGTCTCAAAAAAACCAAAATGGGCTTGAGAGATGGCTTGGCAGTTAAGAGCACTTCTTGATCTTCAGTGGACCCAGGTTGGGTTCCAGCCCCATCATCAGGCAGCTCACAACCACCTGTAACTCCCATTCCATGGAATCTAGTGTGTCCCCACATACACACATACTAAAACTTAAATTAAAAAATAAAGCATGGGCCCTGCCTTCCATTGAGTGCCTAGGCCTGAGCATGGATCACATGGTTCCTGTAGGCATGGGGGCTGTCCTGGAGCACATGCACCCTGTGACAGCTCATAGGGCTACTGTCCTGGATCCCATGGTGCGACGTTCTGGAGCACATGGCCTGAATGGGCCCTACCTTGGGCCTGGCCCATGGGTGGTGCTGGAGGTGCTAGCTTCTCACCTCACTGAGATGGAATGGGGATCTTGGAGGAAACTTTCTGGGTTCCTTTGGCAGAGCTAGCACAATGTTCCTGGAATAGCCAGGAAGTCCTGCCAGAGAGTCTGCGAACTCTCCCATTTTATTTTACGTGGAAGATGCTAAGGGACAAATTCACCAAATGTGGCCATATCTTGTGCTGTGTGCCAATAAGACAGAACAGAAAGGGGCTTGGTATGAAGTCTTGCGTCCCAGAGGTGGCCAGAAGCCTGCTGGGTGAATGGCCCTAAGCTGTGGCCAAGAGACAGATGTTTGAATCAACAGAAACACTTAAAACAGTCGGTTTTTTGTTTTGTTTTGTTTTGTTTTTTTGAGACAGGGTCTCCCTATAATTCCAGCTGGCCTGGACCTCACTACATAGGCAAGGCTGGCTCCATCTCACAGAGATCCACCTGCCTGTGCCTCCCTGGTGCTGGGATTAGAGGTGTGACCACCATGCCAGACCCAGCCCTGGCTTTTAAAGAAGCTCCTAAAGCAGCCTTAATTTAAGAGTATGATCTTCCTGGCAGTGTTAAGTGTTACAGCTGCCACCTTTATTCCGGCTTCCCTTTGATGGTCTGTTAGGTATTTATGACTCCTCTTGACTCTTGGCCTCATTGCCTTTTTACCTACTCACTGCTTCTTCCTCTCTGATACTAGGTCCAGGTGCCTTGGGTGTGCCTTGGGAAGACTTGGCTACACAGCCATTTGATCCGAGTGAATTTGATGCTGAGCCCCAGCCCACTGCCATTCACCCTGAAGTTCATGGATCTCTACCTAGGGCACCACCACAACACCCAAATCTGGTTTATACCAGCCAAGTTCACACAGAGCCATTGGGGATTCAAGGCAGCGAGATGCAGACTATGGAGAAAGCCATGGGTATACCAAAGGAAACAGTAGAGAGGGTGACCCCTGGCAGAGGGCCACCGGAGAGGGAAATGAGGGAAAGACCACCAGATACGGAGCAAGAACATGTGATGGGAGAAGAACTAACTTGGGGGACAGAGGACAGGTTGCAGAAGCAGGTGTTCACTGGAGACAGACAGACACAAGAGTCTGACAGGGTGAAGAGTGGGAATCCTGAAGGGGATAGGGAGAGCATGAAGGTAGAAACAGAGACGGCCAAAGACCAGCAAGAGGGAGAGGGACCAGGACCGGAGAGAAAGGGGAAGCCAGCTGGGCCAGAAAGGACCCTGGCTAGAAGGCCAACGATGGAAAGGAGTCATGATCAAGAAGGGCAGGTTACCAGTCCAACGCCAGAGCCTGAAGTTGGGGCAGAGGAACTTGAGGGACTTGCTTCAACCCTGGTAGTTTCTGGGAGCCAGGGAGATGGAGGAAAGGGAGACCCTGTGAGCCCTGGGAGGAAGCAGAGAGGTAAGTGAGGGCAGGGGACCCACGGTGGTACCCAGTCTCCATGGTAATTGGTCCTTGAGCCTCAGACTGCACAGAACTCAGCCATCTCTTTCCTTTCTTACTAGGCCAGTTAAGTTGCAAGATGCCATCTGCTGCTAAGAAGGTGAGAATTGCCTTCTTATCCTGCCCCCTCCACACACAGGTCACACCCCATCCCCAGCAGCTCCTTTGCCCAGCCTTACTCTACTGTTTCTTTGCCTGTGTTCCCTCTGTGTGTATTGGTGCATTTGGGGCGGGGGGGGGCACACATGTTCTCGGTTCCCCCTCCACTTTTGGGGAGGGTGGTGACAGAGTCTCTTGCTGGCTTTGAATTTGCCAAGTAGACTAGGCTGACTGGCCAGAAAGCTCTGGGGATCCCCTTGTCCCCCCCTTCCTAGCACTAGGATTGCAGGCCTGTACCACCATGCCTGGCTCAGGGATCACAGTCCTTGGGTCCCAATGCTGTTCTTCAGCACCCCTGTACCCTGCCAGCCATTGTTCCCAAGTGGGAACTCCCTCTGTCTGACTCAGAAAAGAAGTCTGTTTTTTCTCTCTTTGGCCCACCATGCTATTAGTGACCAACACCCACCACCTGTGGAGAACACTGCCTGGGGTTATAGAGAGAGGGCCCTTGCCCTGTGTGAAAGAGACTGCTTCCTCCTCAGGGAGTTCCCAGCCTAATAGAAGAGAGGTCACAGAGCAGTGCCAGTGAGCACACTGCAGCCGTAAATAGGCTCAGAGCCAGGCGTGGTGGCCAATGCCAGTAATCCTAGCATTCGGAAGGTAGAGGCTGGCTAAGGCTATACCAAAAGCCTTCCTCAAAAAACTCCAGACCAGTTCCCACCTGTTTCTCTTACTGCTTTTCTTCACTTTGCCTCTTTCTCCTCAGGGTTGTCGAGAATCCCCAGCTCCACGCCTGCTTCCTACGGTGCCTGGCACCTCAGCCCCACCCCAGAGTACCTCTCAGATCCAAAAGCATTCTGCACCTCAGCCTTTGATTTCTCCCTCTTCCCCTTCTGAGCAGCACCTTTGTGAGACTCCTCACATAAAGCCTAATGTTGGGTCCCGGCGGTCCTCCAGGATAACCTCTCCACCTTCCTCTGCTGCCTCACCCACAGACCAGCCTGCTGCCCCTAGGCCCATATCTCGGGCCACTAGGGGCAGAGCAACTAGGTTCTCCATCAGGACCCCAGAACCAATTGTTCCCACAAACTCTGAGCTCCAGCTTCCTGCCTCCACAGACCAGCCTGTCATCCCCAAACCTCCATCTTGGAGGGTTACTAGGGGCAGGACAAGTAGGTCCTCTGTTAAGACTCCTGAGCCAGTTATCCCCACAGGTCCCGAAATCCAGCCTCCCATGTCCATAGACCAGCCTGTCACCCCTAACCTTATATTTTGCAGTACTCGGGGCAGGCCAAGTAAGTCCTTTGTTAAGACCCCAGAACCACTTGTCTCCTTTGACCCCAAACTCCAGCCTCCCACCTCCACAGACCAAACTGCCATTCCCAAATCCACATCTCGGGTCACTCGGGTCAGGACAAATAGGTCCTCTGCTAAGACTCTGGAGCCAGTTGTACCCATAGGTCCTGAGCTTCAGCCTCCCACCAGCACAAACCAGCCTGTCACCCCAAACCTCACATCTCAGAGTACTCGGGGCAGGCCAAGTAAGTCCTCTATTGAGACTCCTGAACCAGATGTTCCCACAGCCCCTGAATTCCAACCTCCTATCCCCATAGGCCAGCCTGTCATCCCTGAGGCCACAGGTCAGAGCAGGACACTAAAGTCTTCATCCCTAAATACTGCCCCCGTCTCCACCCCCACTGAACAGCCCCCTGTCGCCACAGCCAAGCCTGCTCCCCTGGACCCTGTTGCTCAGGTCAGTCATGGCAGGAAGCGGAGGGCTGCTGGAAAGCAGGGCTCCCACACAGTTCCCATCAGCCGCAAGCCTTGCTCCATACTCTCTGAACCTGAGTCCCAGCCCTCAACCCAGCAAAGCTTGGGAGCCAAGCCCCTTGCAGCCACTCCTGAGCCTGCTGGTCCCCAGCTTCCTGAGACCCTGACTCACGCTCAAGCTGCCCTGATCCAGAACCAAACAGCAGTGCTCACTCCAGAGCTCAAGCCTGAGGCCTCAGAAATCCTCAAGAGACTTTCCACTACCACAGACTCACTACCACTTCAAAAACATCCCCGAAGAGAAGTCTCCCAGAAAACTCTGTTCCCCAAGGAAGAAGATGTGGGCAAGTTGTCCATTAAAGAAGAGGTGTCGATTAAGGAAGAGGTGAGAGGAAAGCTGGGGACCCCATTTAGGAACTAGAGCTGCAGGGCTCAGAAACATCTACCCAGGTATTTTTCAGCCTCAGGATCAAGCAATTCCAGAGCCAGGGAAGAGAAAGCGGGACCATGGAGAGGACGAACTCCAGGGGACCTCGAATCGCAGCCTCCGAAGGACCAAACCTAACCAAGAAGCAGAAGCCCCCAAAGTAGGAGAAGGGGTTTGGTGGGAAGGCAGGAGGAGGCCTGGGGATTGAGAGATGGGCCCTGCTGGTATGGGTTGCTGTGACTGTCGTACCCCTCCTCCACCCCAGGTGCTCTTCACTGGCGTCGTGGACTCTCGTGGGGAGCGGACTGTGCTATCTCTGGGAGGCAGTGTGGCCAGCTCAGTGAATGAGGCCTCTTACCTGGTCACTGATCGCATCCGAAGGACAGTCAAGTTCTTGTGTGCCCTGGGCAGGGGGATCCCCATCCTCTCTCTGAACTGGCTGTATCAGGTAAGAGGTCAGAAGACCATAAATGGCAGAGACTGCTCAGCTAGCTCCAAGGAAGTGGTGGGAGGAAAGGAGATGAAGAGAGGTGAGTGTTGTAAGGCACAGGGCTTCTTGGGAGAGGACGATAAGGACCAGGGTCACTCTGTGGTAGGACACTTGCCTAGCATGCTTGAAGAATTGGGGTCAATCCCCAGCACTGCAAAATAAGAAAGATAGGATAAGTTCTGTGTCGATGCTTAGCAGCTGTGCTGGCAGGGAGGGGCTGGGCCCAGTGCTGACTGCTTCTTCCCGTAGTCTCGAAAGGCTGGTTACTTCTTGCCCCCTGATGAATACTTGGTGACTGATGCTGAGCAGGAAAAGAACTTTAACTTCAGCCTTCGGGACTCCCTGAACCGGGCTCAGGAGCAAAGACTACTGCAGGTGCGAGGCTGTCTTCTGTACTACGCTTCATGTCGACCCCTGTCCCCTCCTCGGGAGGTTTCCGGTGGTCCTTGGCCTCAGTGTAGACATCTGCTGTCTCTACTACTACTCTCTAGGGCTATGAGATTCATGTGACCCCCGGAGTGCAGCCACCCCCACCTCAGATGGGAGAGATCATCAACTCCTGTGGAGGCACAGTCCTGCCCAGCATGCCCCGCTCCTACAAGGTATGACTGGTGTAGCTGAGCCTGGCGAGGGAGCAGCCAGACCGGTGGTGGGAAAGAAGGGGTTGGGGAAAGGGCTAAAAATGAGGGAAGAAAGTGCTGACTTGGTGTCAGGGTTCATGTGGTACCTGGGGCAAGTTGTGGGAGTCAGTTCTCACCTTCCGCCTTGTGGGTCTTGAACTCAAGTTGTCCGAATGGCTTGGTAGCAAGCACTTATCCACTCACCCATCTCCTTAGCCCTTAGTTATGTTTGGTAATTTAAATCTTTTCAAGTAGACTGGTGTGGTGCTGCACACTGGTAATCCCAGCACTTGGGAGGTGGAGGTAGAAGATGGGTAAGATCAAGGTCATCCCCAGCAGAACAGCACATTTGAGGCCAGCCTGGACTACATGAGATCCTGTCTCAGTACACACATGCACTGACCTAAAGCTGTTCATCCACATCCACCTGTTTCAGTTACGCCAGCTCTAGTCTGTCTGTCCTTCTGTTCTTTCTTAACTCCAGCCTGGGCTCAGTCCTCTGCAGTCCTCTGCCTACCAGTGCTGAACCATGGTGCCTGGCCTTTCTTCGGTTCTTGCTGAAGATTTTTTGTTTTCTGTTTGTTTGTTTTGGTTTTTTAGACAGTCTCACTCATTATGTAGCCCCAGCTGGCCTAGAACTCCCTCCCTATGTAGACCAGGCTAGCCCCAAACAGAGATCCACCTGCTTCTGCTCCTGAGTACTGGGATTAAGGGTGCACCTCTATACCTGATTTTCATATGTGTGGTTTTTTTTGTTTGTTTGTTGTTTTTGTGTTTTTTTTTTTTGATGTGTATGAGTGCTTTGCCCTCATTTATGTATGTGCACTTTGTGTCTGCCTGGTGCCTGAAGATGCCAGAGAAGGCAGATCCCCTGGAACTGGAGTTGCACACAGTTGTGAATCGCCATGTGGGTGCTGGGAACTGAACCTAGGTTCACTGGAAGAGCAGCCAGTGGTCTTAACGGCTGAGCCATCTCTCCAGCCCCAAGACCTTGTCTTAAAACAATAAAAACTTAAAAAACATATTTCCACCCTCCCACATAATTGAATCTTTGATTCTTCAATACCTGATCTTTAAAAGATATGCACCTTTTCTTAAATATTCACAGTATCATTACTGATCTCCAACAAAAGTAACACTTTTTTCACAAATCAAATTTTCCAGTTACCTGAAACATCTTTTTTGTTTGGTTTTGTTTGAGACAGGGTCATATTATATAGCCCAGGCTATCCTCTCGACCCAGCCTCCTAAGTGCTGTAATTATAGGCCTTTGCTACCATACCCAGACAAAACCTGTCTCTTTGTTTTGAGACACTCATTATATAGCCCCAGCTGGCCTGGAACTCACAGAGATCCTCTAGCCTCTGCCTCCCTAGTGCTGGGATTAAAGGCGTGCGGCACCACACCCAGCTGAAAGATGTCTTTTTACGATTGTGTGCAGAATTTTGCCAAGCAAGGTGGTACGTGCCTGTAGGACTGCATACTTGTAGTACCATCTACTCAGGAGGTTGGGACAAGAGGACCCCTTGAACCATACAGGGATATACACAGGAAGGACCCACCACTTTTTTTTTTTTTTTTTTTTTTTTTTGTCTTTTTGAAGCAGGGGTTCCCTGTAGCCCCAGCTATCCTGGAACTCATTATATAGACCAGGCTGGCCTTGAACTCACAGAGATTGGCCTACCTCTGCCTCCCACGTGGTGGGACTACAGGCGTGCACCACTATGCCGGGTTAACAGAATCCACCATATCTTAAAAACAAAAAGCTATGGGTGTGGTGGCCCCATCTCAATCCTAGTACTTCTCAGGAGCCAGAGGCAGGTACAGCTCTGAGTTTGAGGCTAGCCTGGACTGTATAATGAGTTCCAGGCCAGCCAGAGCTACATAGTGAGACCCTGTCACACACACAAAAACCAAACAAACAAAAAGCCAAGATTCCTATAAAGCCCACACATTTTCTGTATTTCCTGATTCTGTTGCTGGGGTGCCCCTGACCCCAGCCCTACCCCGTAGCCTTGTGTTTTTGCAACATTGACCTGACAGACTAGGCCAGTCTTCCTGGAGAATGTTTCCCAGGCAGGGTTTTCATGTGTGCTCTCTTGTTTGTATCTTTTTTTTTGGTCTTTTTGAGACAAGGTCTCCCTGTACAAATCTTAGTTTTAAAAGCTGAGGTAGGTGCTAGAGTGGGCGCTGCTGTAGTGTAACAGACCTGTAATCCCAGAACTCAGGAGGTGGAGACAAGAGGACCAGAAGTTCAAGGTCATCCTTAGCGACATGATAACTTTCAAGCTAGCTTGGGTTACAGCAAATCCTTTCTCAAAAAGAAAAAAAATACTGAGACAAGCTCGGGTTGACCGTTAGTGAAGAAGATGTGACGGCAGATGAATGCTCCGACCGAGACTAGGTCCTGCTTCCTGTTAAGATCTGTTCCCTCACTGACCTGAGTCTGGTTAGTGAGTCCTACATGTTCCGAGGGTTCCTTTTCTCTCCTGACTGTCTTTCGATCTCTTCCAGCCTCACCGCGTTGTCATAACATGCGCCCAAGACTTACCTCGCTGCACCACCCCATCTCGGCTGGGGGTGCCCCTTGTCTCTTCTGAGTTCCTGCTGACTGGAGTGCTGAGGCAGGAAGCCACACCAGAAGCGTTTGTCCTCTCCAGTTTGGAAACACTACCCACCGGAAAACACACGGACACACACAGAGACACAACACACACACAGACATAACACACACCACCCACCTGAAAACACAGACACACACACAGACACACACACACACACACACACACACACACACACACACACAGCTTCAGAAAAGAACTGGAATGTTTGGGAACATGGATAAGGCCAGAAAGATAAGAAAGGTTTTCTCCTTAGATGGCCATCTTTTTTTTTTTTTTTTTTTTTTTTTTTTTTTGTCTTTGAGACGGTCTCCCTAGACGGCCCAGCACTTGAACTTGCTAACCCAAGCTGTGGGTGTAGCTCGGTGGCAAAGCTCTTGCCTAGCACCAGTGAGAAATGCCCAGGTTCTGCCCCAGCACAGGCAGGCTCATATGCAGCCACACTAGTGACCTGCTGTTCACAGCCCAGCATCCTGCCTCCCATTTGGAAGCTATTGCTTCCTCTTTTTCTTCCTGAGATTCTTATCCTCAAAGGAAGTGAGGCGCTTTCAGGGATGCCTGAGAGAGATGATGAGAGGGTGGTTATGGAATGTATTTTCCTGGCCTGCCTCACCTGCTTGGAAACATCCTTTAGCTGTGACTTAGAGCAAGTGTCTGTACTTTCCTGGCCTGCCTTCCCAGTATTTGTAGAATGAGGCCTTTGGTTGATCTCCGTGGTAATACTCACCCTGTACCTTATGGTCAATGTCTGGTGTTTAAAACACAAAAGAGCCGGGTATGGTGGTACACACCTCTAATCTCAGCACTCGGGAGGCAGAGGCAGGCAGATTTCTGTGAGTTCCAGGCCAGCTGGGACTACAGGGAGGCCCTGTCTCAAAAAGAGAAAGAAAAAGTTAAATGGTACAGGGGCAAACACCTGTGACACCAGCACACAGGAGGTTGAGGCAGGGAGATGACAGGTTCCAGGGCAGCCTGGGCTACAGAGTGAAAAAGAGAAGGAAAAAGTGATAGGGTTCCTGTGGGACCCAACAATATTGCTGTCAGTTCTGGGCCCAGGAGAAACATTTAAGCAAGTGCATGGCCAGGCCTGGTAGTGCAGGCCTATAACCCCAGCAGTTGGAGGTAGAGAAAGGGTCAGGAGTTCAAGGTCAGCTTTGGCTACATAGCAAATTGGAGACCAGCCTGGCTTACATGAGACCCTGTGCCAAAAAAAGAAGCAAGCACTTGACATAAATGTTTATGTCACCACCACCCCTCTCCCCAGTGCTGTGGATTGAACCTAGGGCCTAATGCATGCTAGGCAAACTGAGCCTTATCACCAGCCTCTCATCAGTTTTCAAAATAGCCAAAAAGATAGACATCCTGCAGGTGTTCAGCAAGGGTGGATATATAAGCAAATATGTGCGCAGAAAGGGATATTGTTCAGCATAAAGCAATGGGGAGCCAAGACCACCAGCATAACAGTTTCTGAATAAGTATCAAAAATATTTCCTAAGTAAAAGCCAGACAGAGGACATGCATGATTCCACTTAGTGAGCTGTAAATGGGTGAGAATCGAGAGCAGATGGGCAATTGGGGGTTAACTGGGAGCAGGGCAGGGGTTGCTGCGTGGAGGTTAACTGGGAGGTGGAGATGTCTTGGAACCAACAAGAGGGAGTGGTCGTACATTCTGCAGAGTACAATATGCCACTGTATTGAATGTCTCTTAAGTGGTTGGTTTTCTGCTGTTTGAATTTCACTTCAATAAAAATACTCGCAGCTGCTTACTTTGTGTACTTCTCTGCAGCAAATTATGTGTATGTAAGCTTAGAAAACTGTCTCCGTGTTGTAGATAGTGTTAGCTCTGTGCAGCACTTCCTCTGCTGGTGATGGGTTTCAAACCTAGAGCCTTACTCATGTTAGGCAAGTACTCTGTTACCCACCTATGCCCCAGCTGTGTGCTGGGTCTTTTTGGTTTGGTTTCTGGAGATCCTGGGGTTGAACCTAGGAATTCATGCATGCTATCTGGCCAGATGCTTTGCCATGGAACTATATTCCCAGCCCTTTGTTCATTGTGTAAATACATGTGGAGTGTGTACTCGTGTTCATATATATGGAGGCTAGAAGGCAACCTTGGGTGTCACTCTTGAGGAGCAGTTCACCTTGTTTTTCCTTGAGACAGAAATCTCTGGAACCTGGGGCTCACTGATCAGGCCATGCTGGCCAGCCAAGGAATCACAGGCATCTGTCTATTGACTGCCCCAGGGCCGGGATTATGAGTTTAGGACCAAGGGAAACCACAGAGCTTAGTGCCATGCCTTGGTACCCACCCAGAAGCTCTTCTGGGACCGCCATCGGCTCAGGATGAGCTGACCCTAGCTGTGGTTCCATGCTGTAATACCTGCACTTGAACATGGAGGCAGGAGGTTCAGTTCAAGACCATCCTTGGCCACAGCATAGCAGGTTCCAGGCCAGCCTGGGCTACATGAGACTTTTTGAAGACGAGTGGAGAGAGCAGGTATGGAGAGCTTCCTTCAAATCCACTACTGTGCTCATAGACGCTCCACTCAGATTGTTTCCCAGGCAGAAAGCAGGGTAGGGAAGGAATGTGTTGGGAGCGCTATGTAGAGCAGTGCGCAAAGCCTGGTCCAGAACCTGGAGAGGAGGGAAGAGGGGCCGGAGCCTGGAGGGTTGCTGAGACGCTGCCGCTTCCTGCTCTAGGGCAGCGTTATCTCCCTGACCCTCAGGAGTTCTATCTGTAGGCTGAGGGAGTTAGCGCGTGTCATCTGAGGCCCCGTGTACGCACAGCTATGGTGACTGAGTCCTTCACTACATTGCCTTTGGCCTTTTGAGGCCCAGTCTCCATAGTTGTCCATGCTAACTTCAAACTCTCCATCCTCCTGCACGGAGGGAGTCACCGTGCACGGCTCTACAGCATCATTAACCGAATCTATGTTGGGCGTGGCGGCTCCGCCCGTAACCCCACCCCTCGACTGGAAGGTCGAGAGGCTCCCACTTTCCAGGGGAGCCCTGGCCGCGCGGAGATTCGATCCACGCGCGCGGAGCCGCCGCCCTGACGACGCACGCCGGGGGTTCCAGGCTGGGACGCAGGGAGCGACCCGCCTGCGCGCCTGCACAGCGGCGGAGGCGGGGCCCGGGCGGGGCCTGCGGCCGCGGGAACCCCGAGCCCGCCCTCGGCGCGCCCCGCGCTCACCATGGCCCCCGCGCTGCTGCTGGTCCCCGCGGCCCTCGCCTCTTTCATCCTGGCCTTTGGCACCGGAGTGGAGTTCGTGCGCTTCACCTCCCTGCGGCCGCTGCTCGGAGGGATCCCGGAGTCCGGTGGTCGGGGTGAGCCGCGGGGATCCGGCCGAGCTGGAGTTGGGAGGAGGAGCCGCAGGAGCGAGGCGAGGGCGGGGCGTGGAGACAAATGACAGGGAGCTGGACCCGCCAAAGCTGTCGTGCCCAGCCGCTGCTGGCAAGGGGCTTGAGGGCTAATTCCGGAACTCCAGGATTAGCCCTTCACTGAGCTGGAGAGTGCAACACACTACAGTACTGCTTGAAAAAAGAGAACAGCTTTGTAAAGGGCACTAGGGAGCAGGAAAGGTTAAAAAGAGAGACCATTAGAAAACTACCCCTGAGGTGGCTTCCCCAGCCCTTCGTGTGTGTTGGTGTGTGCGTGTGCATGTATGTGTGTAATGTGTGTGTGCATGTACCTATGGGTGCATGGAGGCCAGAGGTCAACCTTGGATTTCCTTTCCACCTCGCTTTGTTTTGGTTGAGATAGGGTCTGGCTAACCTGGAACTCATAAGCAAACCAGGCTGGCCTGGAGCATTGATCCACCTATCTACCTCTCAAGTCAACTTGTATTCTGAGACAGGGTCTCTCACAGGGTGCCTTGGAGTTCACCAACTAGGCTAGACTGGCAGAATAGCAAGTCCCAGGAGTTCTCCCCCACCCTAGATGACAGGCACATACCACCATGCCCAGCCTTTTACATGGGTGTTGAGGATCAAATTGAGGTCCTCCTGCTTCTGTGATGCTTTACCAACTGAGCTATCCCTCCACCCTCCCACCTTGGTTTTAATGGCTGCCCCACCTACATTCTCCAAAGAATCTTCTCCCTCAGACCTTAAAGGAAGCCTAGGGAAAAGGGAAGACTGGAGGGTTGGGGAAGCGAACTGGGCACAGCCTGTGGGACAAGCATCAGGAGACATGGCCTTGGGTCCTGAGGGAAGATGAAGGGGGTGAGCATTGCAGCCATCTTTCTGATCTTTTGAACCTTTCTTCCCTCACCTTCCACAGAGGCCCGCCAAGGCTGGCTGGCTGCCCTGCAGGACCGCAGCATCCTCTCCTCCCTCGCTTGGGATCTGGGGCTCTTGCTACTGTTTGTGATGCAGCACAGCCTCATGGTGACTGAGAGAGTGAAGATGTGGACATCCCGGTACTTCGGGGTCCTTCAGAGGTCACTGTATGTGGCATGCACTGCCCTGGCCTTGCAGGTATGAGGTATTGACCGAGGGAGAGTTTGTGGGAGGGACAGCTACACTGGAGCCACATAAAATGTGTATGTAAGAGAATGGAGGATGGGAGGATGCTGACTGCAGCTTGTTCCTCCAAGGCACATACCCCACTGTCAGGGACGGTGCACCTGGTACCCAGCACAGAATGTACAGCCCCACTGTTGCAACTTTGTTCATGTTGTCCTGCCCTAGATCCCTCCTCAGTCCTCCCATCTTCCAATCCCCCTCCTGAGGTCTCAAGAGAAGATTTGCTTTCCACTTAGTTATCTTGTCTCCTTACTGGGTGCTTGGCATAGGCCACTTTGTATGCTACCCCCCCCCCATCCATTCTTCATGTAGACATGGGTCATCTTCGCTTTCTTGGGATCGAATCCAGAGCATTGCACGTTGTAAATATTTACTGGTGATGTGGGGGAAGAGCTGTAGATTACTCTGGGGCGGGGCAGCCTCTGGGTCTTGGTTTCTCATGAGTGGGCAGGGTAGACCACCAGGATTCCCCAGCCTCTCATCCTTTCTCAGCTGGTGATGCGGTACTGGGAGTCTGTTCCCACAGGCCCTGTGTTGTGGGAGGCTCGGACTGAGCCATGGGCCACCTGGGTGCCCCTCCTCTGTTTTGTGCTGCACGTCATTTCCTGGCTCCTCATCTTCAGCATCCTTCTGGTGTTTGACTACGCTGAGCTCATGGGCCTCAAACAGGTGAGGATGGAGCCCCTACCTGAGACCTGTCTGCCACACTCTCTCCTGCACAGTCCTATTGGATTTCTACCCCTTGCCTCCTTAGGATGGCCTTCCTTCCTCGTCCTCTCAAAGGCCAGCAACCATGGGTTTCCTGGGCCTGGGGAGGTTGCATAAACCAAAGACTCAGGTTGAGGTGGCATCTCAAAAGGAGTCCTGAGCCTAATCCTAAGCTGGTGTTGCCCGGAAAAGGACAAAAGCTGCTAAGTGAACAAGAAGGGGCTTGTCTTGATTCCAATGCTGTCTGTCTGGCCTCTCCTAGGTCTATTACCATGTGCTGGGGCTGGGTGAGCCGCTGGCCCTCAAGTCTCCACGGGCTCTAAGGCTCTTTTCCCACCTTCGCCACCCAGTGTGTGTGGAACTGCTGACCGTGCTGTGGGTAGTCCCCACTCTGGGCACCGATCGCCTCCTTCTCGCTCTCCTCCTCACCCTCTACCTGGGCTTGGCTCATGGGCTTGACCAGCAAGACCTCCACTACCTGCGTGCTCAGCTACAAAGAAAACTCCAGCTGCTTTCCAGGCCTCAGGATGGAGAGGCAGAGTGAGGAAGGAGCCGGCTCTGGTTCCCAGCCCTGTTCTTCCTTTCACCCCCAAGTTCAAAATCCTTTGGCATCCAGGTTCTGGCTGCTTCAGACCGGAGTCTGGAACCCAAGCATTGAAGGGAGCTGTCCCTTCTCCTGGGGAGACCTCATCCCAGGTGCAGCTCTACACTCTAAATTCAGTTTCAGCCACTAGGCTCCCCTTCTCATCCAGGAAAATGAGGTGCGGTGCGGACCCCGTCAGCCTTCTCATCATCTAGATCTAAGGCATGACACTCCCCTCAACCCTCTCACGGTCAGCCCTGGGCACCTTCCTAGCAGTGGCTCTGCCCCTCAGGATTGCCTACATCCCCACCCCCACCCCGCCTCCAGCTTTCACTCCCAGGGGCTGGGGTCAGGGCCTGTCGGCAAGTTTGCAAATAGAGGCTGTTCCCTCTGGGGCACAGCGGTGCGTGCGCCCCAATCCTGCCAGGGCGGATTCTCCCGTTCTCAACTCGTGACTCAGGGTCCCCTGCCCTCCCTAGTAACATGCGCTGGAGAAAAATAAAACTTTTTTCTACATATGGCATCTAGTCGCCTGTCCATGTATCCCACCCCGAGCTCGGGTAGGGTCAGCCACCCCACCCCTCAGCGAGCGCCCGGTTGGGGCCACGCCCCGTGGGTCCGCCTCCACCTCCCAGTTGCCTGGTCCCGCTTTCTCCAACGATCCCAGTTTCTCCCAGATCAGACGGGCCCGTGAGACAGGGTGAATCTCAACTCCCAAGCCATGCGCCTTTGTGCACCTCTCCTGCCCGGCAGCCGCCCTCTCCGCCTAAGTAACAAAGACTGGCTGGGGAAGGCAAAAGCGTGGGGAGGAGCGGCGAGAGATGGGAAGGGAGGGCCCGGCTTGCCACAGCTGCCGCTTCCTCCCCGAGTCCCTCGGGGGGCCTGAGTCACGGGCCGCCGCCCGGGGTTGGCGAGCTCGGGGGTGGGGAGGGGGTCTGCGCACCGCGTCTCCAGGGCTGCCAGGCTGGAGGCGGGCGCGGGCCTCTGGGGACGGAGGGCGAAGGGCCGGGGATTGCCACCGCGGGAGGGAAGTCCCATGGCCGAGTGAGTTCCGCGAGGGGAGGGCAACGAGGCCCCGCCCCGGCCCGGGCTCCGCCCTGCGCCCCCTTCCCTCGCCCCATTGTCCGTAGACAAAGCGGTCGCCGCCCCCCGCCCGGCCCCCGGTCTCTGTCTAGGTCCCTCCTCCTCGGCTCCCCTCCTCCCTCCAGACTCCGGATCTCCCTTCGGCCTCTCTCCTCATCTTCCTCTCTCCGGGACGCCTGGCTCCTCCGCACCTCCTCCCCGGGACCCCCGAGGCGTGTGAGTTAACTGCGGGGCTCCCACTACAGGGGAGGTATCTCCTGGCTCCTGTCCCCCACACGTCCCTCCCCCAGACCCTGCGCTGCGTCCCCTTTGTGCCGAGATGGCCTGTACGTGTGGTCAGGGCGGGTGCATTGGTCGGTCCAGGCCCTTGGGAGCGGGGATCCCTAACAGCAGACGCGCCACGCAGGTCCTCGGCAGGTCGGGGGTCCCAGGGCGCAGCGAGTCGGGGAGGCCTGCGAGGGCGACGGAACTAGACACGAGGGGACGCCAGGGTTCCAGGGACGCGTTGGCAGCTCGCGCGCCCGGGTTCCGAAAGTCCCCGAGGAGGGTATTTCCCCCGACCCGCCCCTGGGGCGGAGTGGCCCGCGGACCCAAGGGGCGGGGCCGTGCGCGGCGGGGAACGAGAGCTGGGACCCGGGAACCCGCCGAGACCTGCGCCCTGACCGGCAGCCCCGGTCCGCTTCTCCCCTGGACCTCTGCTCTCTCCGCGTTTCCCCATCCCCAGCCACCCCTCGCCGTCCGGTTCCCTGCTCTTCCCTTCCCTCTCATCACCCCTGGGTACCCCGAGGCGACCTCTCCTGGAACCCTCTCGCTTCTCGCCCCAGTCCCTCTTCTCCCTCACTCCAGCTTCTCCCTTGCTCCTTCCCACATCCTTGAGACTGGCTCAGTCTCTGCCAGGAATCTGGACTCTTCCTCTCCCATTCTCCCCACCCCCTACTTGGCGCTCAGCTCCACCATTTCACTTTCTCCCTCTGCTTTCCCTCCTCTCCAGGCTTCCCTCTATCTTCATCCTTAGTTCTACTGTCCTCCGTCACACCTTTTCCCATCACTTCCTCCTCCCCCATCCCCACTCTCTTGCCCCCGGGCCTCCCTGAAGCCTGCCCTTCCTGTTCTCTGTCCCCCAGTGCACTCTACCCAGGGACCATGACCGCTATCCCAGACTGGAAACTCCAGCTGTTAGCCCGCCGTCGGCAGGAGGAGGCAGCGGTTCGTGGTCGGGAGAAGGCAGAGAGGGATCGCCTGTCCCAGATGCCAGCCTGGAAGCGGGGGATCCTGGAGCGCCGTCGGGCCAAGCTGGGCCTGCCTCCTGGAGAGGCCAGCCCTGTGTCTGGGACTGCAGAGGCGGGACCTCCAAATCCAGATGAGCCTGCTGTCCTCCTGGAGGCCATCGGGCCAGTACACCAGAACCGATTCATCCAGCAGGAGCGGCAACGGCAGCAGCTGCAGCGCAACGAAGAGCTGCTTGCTGATAGGAAACTAGGGCCTCTGGAGGCCCGAGAATGGAGATCCAGCCCTGGGAATTTAAGAGATCAGAGCCCCAAGGAAAGAGAGCCGAGAGAAGAGAGACTAAGTCCCAGGGAAGCCAGAGAGAGAAGGCTGGGGCCAGGGGGAGCCCAGGAGTCCAGCTCCAGGCCTTTGGAGACTCCAGTTGGGAGGCAGAGCCCAGGAGAGGCCAAGGACCTGAGCTCAAAACCAGCAGAGATTCAGAAATGGAGATTGAGTCCAGGGGAAACTCCAGAGCGGAGTCTGAGGCTGGCAGAGCCTGGAGATCACAGTCCAAGGAGGGAAGAGGGCCTAGAAAGCAGACTGAGCCCTGGGGAGTCTGGAGACCAGAGGCTGGGCCTGACAGAAGCCCATAAATGGAGTCCCCACTCTAGAGAGTCACAGCCAGAGGCCTCAGAGTGGAGGCTGAACTCGAGGGAAGAAAGGAAAGACTGTGTGGAGGACTATGGGGGAAACGAAGAGAACCCAAGTCCAGGGATGGTCCCAGAAGGGTCGGTAGGACCGGCAGAGACCCCGACAAAGGAGGTTAAAGCCTCCATCTCTAGAGGAGTGGAGACTGCTGAGCAGAGGCCCAGCCCTGTGGAGGACGGTGAGAGGGGTCTGAGGCCCTCTGAAGGCTGGAAATGGACCCTAAACTCTGGGAAGGCTCGAGAACGGACATCCCGGGAGCTAGAGACTCAAACTCAGAAGCCTCCAGCATCTGCAGAGAAGTGCCTAGGGCCTTCTGGTGTGGAGGCTGAAGGGGAGGCTGAGGAGGAGACAGGAGCTCAGAGCAGGCCTCTGGGAGCCCTGCAGGACCTCTGCTCTGGGTCCTCCCCTCTTCCACCAGAGGATGCTGGGACCGGAGGCACCAGACAGCAGGAAGAGGAAGCAGCCGAACCCGGGCCCCCACCACCACCAGCCCTTCTGTCTCCCCCACCCCCAGCCCCAAGTGCCCCCCAGCCTCCTGGGGATCCTCTCATGAGCCGGCTATTCTATGGGGTGAAGGCAGGGCCTGGGGTGGGGGCCCCCCGCCGCAGTGGACACACCTTCACTGTCAACCCCCGGAGGTCTATGCCCCCTGCAAACCCAGCCCCTCCAGCCACTGCTGATGCTGCAGGCCCCGGAGCTGGGAAGAAGCGGTACCCGACTGCCGAGGAGATCCTGGTGCTGGGGGGCTACCTCCGTCTCAGCCGAAGCTGCCTTGTCAAGGGGTCCCCTGAAAGACATCACAAACAGGTAAGGAAGCTGCCAGGCCTGACTGGGTAGGAGCGCTCTTTCCAGTTCTGTCTGGACTCCAGTATTTCTTGCTTTTTTATACTCTGTTCTTCTCGATTCCTGCCGCCTCCCTTCCTCCGTCCGAGCACACACCCTTCCTTCTGGTAGCCCTCCTTTGCCATTCATTTCAGAGCCCCAAGGATCTGCCCAGCCACCAACCGCTGTGCCGGGGTGTACCATTTTCAGGGTCCTGGCCCTCAGGCTCTCAGATACCCAAGCCCTTCTGGTAGGCGAGGAGAGCTGGCCACCGTGTAGCTGTGAGGCCAGAGTCCCCAGGTGAAAAATCAGCTTTGAACGGGAGAGAATGTAGTGTGGAGACAGGAAGCCAGGGAAAGTGGAGGGAAGTTGGAAGGAAAGCGCTCAGCTCCAAGAAAGAGGGGCAGAAGTAAATGGGGACATCCCAGGATGGAGGGGGTGTGTGAGATGGAACAGAGCAGAGAGAAGGCTTTTGGACCCCAAGTCTGCCCCACAAGAGAGGCTCATACAAAGGCCATTTGAAGTAGGGGACCTCAGGGATGCCTACCCCCCAGCTGGGCTACTCATCAGATAGTACTTCCTTCTCCCTGAGGACAAGAAAGCATTCTCCCCTTCCAAAATATCCCCCTTCCCCCATCTTTCCTCCCTGGGCTTCCCCTCCCCCTCAGAACTGGCTCAGTCCTGGTTTTCCCCTGTGTTCCTGCTACCCTGGCCTTTCCCTCCCCTTGAGGCAGAAAAAGAGAAGTTGAGATGGAGGCAGGGAACTGAGAGCTGAGGCTGAGAGGCACTGTGGGAGCTGGGGGCAGGCGGGGGCTGAGGCAGGCAGAGGGGCAGAGACTGGACTGGGCAGAGTCACCCTCTAGCCCTGGCCCAAGGCCTTCCTTGTACGTACCAATCAGCTTCCTCCTTGAAAAATCTCTGGGGAGAGATGGTCCTACGTGCAGACTCAGAAGTCTCACCGCTCAGCATCTTTCCAGGCCTGGGAAACCTGTCACTTCCACATCCCATGTAAATTTGTTTTGTGTCCTTGGTGTCAGTGGGAGACCGCAAGATCCAAAAATCAGGGTTAAGTATGGGGATCATGTTTTTGTACAGTGTTGGTATTCGTGACATTTGAAACATGATTTATTTTGGTGGGTTCCCCCATCCCCAGCCCCAATTCATCGTCCCTGAAGCCCCCACTCCCTGTGGTGGACCTGAGAGTCCACGCTCAGCCTTCAAGCTGCTTTTGGCCTTTTCCTCTCAGGGCTAGGCAGATATAAAGGAAGACAGGAAATCCTCCCAGGTGAGCTGTTTAGAAGCCTCTTCCTACTGAGGATGGCTTGTGCCTTTGGGGAATCAAGACCTTGGGGCCCAAGCCTAGGGTCCATCTGAGGGCAGCCAGTGCAAAGCAGGACCTATGCTGGGGACTGGACCCAGGTCAGCAAGAAGGGGCGGAAGCAGACAGTCCAAACAGGAAGCCTGGGGTGGGGGCCGGAAGGCTGGTGGGACTGAGTGGGAACACTGGGCCTTGGGCCTGCCAGAACTGTGCTCAGGATGTGGTGAGAGAATCAGGAAGCAGTCACACTGGAGTGGGGGTGGGGAGGGGGCCACTGAGTTCCCTAGACCTGGCCATCTCTCCCTCTACCCTCTCTCAGTGCAGACCCAGCCGCTTCTCCCTCAGCCCTCTCTCAGCCTCAGCAAGGACTGGTGTGCCTTGTCCTACCTCTGCCCCAACCACTACCCCTGCCCTTCACCTTCCCTAAATAGTAACTTTGCAGGCTCCTTCTATCCAGCTGATTCCCTGCCATCAGAGAGACACCCAGCCCTGCCCTGAGTTGGGACAGGCTGTGGCTGGTGCTCTTCCCCTGAGGCCTCTCAGTCTGGAGACCTGCTCCTCCCTCTCTGGCCCCCTTGTGACCTTATATAGCTGATGGGAGAGGAGGGAGTGAGTCACTTCCCTCCCTGTCCCCACCTCCTTTGCAGGCTGTGCATTCCTGAGAAGCCCTGTCAGAAGCTACTGAGAATGGGGTGACACTTAAGTAGACAGCAAGGGAGGTAGACGGGGTGCCAAAATGAACCCTTTTGAACAGACCATGAACTATGGAAAGGGATAGAAAAGAAAACAACATTGGGCTCCTAGATATTTAGGTAAAATTGCCAGCAACAGAGACAGAAAGGGTCCCTTTCTAGAAACTGGGATGTGAGCCGTCTGGTGGCTGTCCCTTCATTCTACCAGCATTTCCACAGACACGAACTGGGACAGACAGACTGGGATACCCCCCATATTGTGCCCCCAGCCTTGGTCCTCTGTTGGGACAGCACCCGATGTCTAGACATACCTTAACCTTATGCACTGTGGCCACTTCCTGGCTCTTTTGATGGCAGCCGAAGGTACAGAGTCAATACAATTAGCCTTCTGCCTCAAGGGTTCCGCTTCTGTGAGTTTGGCCAAGCACAGATCAGAATTATTCAGGTCGGTAGCACAGACTTCTAATCCTAGCTATGGATGGCAAGTTAAAGTTCAAAGCCAGCCTGGGCTACTTTGTGAGACCCTATCTCAAAAAATAAGAAGGCTGGGAGCTAGGCATGGTAGTGCATGACTGTAATCTCAGCACTTGACAGGAGCAGAAGGACCAAGAGAGCAAGGTCATCCTTGGCTACATAGCAAGTTCAAGGCCAGTCTGGGCTACATAAGACCCTGTTTTCAAAAACAACTACACAGGGCTAGAGAGATGGCTTTGGTTAAGAGCTCCTCTAGAGGACCCAAGTTTGGTTCCCAGCACACAAGTCAGGCAGCTCAACCACCTCTAACTCCAGCTCCAGGGGATCTGATGTCTTCTTCTAGACTCTGTGGGCACCTGCACTCATGTGCACATACCCACACACACATACATAATTTTTAAAATAAGAAAAATAAATCATGGGGCTGGAGAGATGGCTCAGCGGTTAAGAACACTGACTGTTCTTGCAGAAGACCCAGGTTCAGATCCCAGCACCCACATGGCTGGTAACTGTCTGTAACTCCAGTTCCAGGGGATCTGACAGCCTCTTCTGACCTGTCAGGCATTGCACGACATGGGTGCACTTACCTACATACAGGCAATACACTCATACACATAAAATAAAAATAATAAATAGGGCCAGGTGTGGTGGCACATGCCTTTAATCTTAGCACTTAGGAGGCAGAGGCAGGCGGATCTTTGTGAGTTTGAGGCCAGCCTGGTCTACGTAGGCTGGAGAGATGGCTCAGCGGTTAAGAGCACTGACTGCTCTTGCAGAGGGACCGGGGTTTGATTCCCAGCACCCACATTGGTGGTTACGAACCTTCCTTAACTCCAGTTCCAGGGGAATCTGAAGCCCTCTTCTGACCTCAGCATTGCAGGACACAGGTGCACTCACATACATGCAGGCAATACATTCATACACATAAAATAAAAATAATAAAATTTTAAAGAAAGAAAGTAAAAAATGCCAGGCATAATGATGAATTGCTTTAATGCCAGCACTCTGGAGGCAGAGGCAGGCGGATCTCTGAGATCCAGGCCAGCCAGGGCTACATAGTGAGACCCTGTTTCAGAAAATAAAAAACATCACACATTACAAAAGAAAGAAAGAAAATACAAGAAAAAAAAAGATTGAGGATGCAACTCAGTGGTAGACTGCTTGCCTAGCATGTAGAAAGCCCTAGAGTCAATCCCAGCACTTCAAAAAGGCACAAATAATGTATGTATGTATGTATGTATGTATGTATGTATGTATGTATGTATTTATACAGTGTCTCAAATGTAGCCCTGGCTGGCCTAGGACTCAACAGAGATCCCTCGGCCTCCTGAGTGCTAGGGTTAAAGACATGCACACAACCATCAAAAAAAAATTATTTTAATGGACATGTGTACAGGCAAAATAATCAAGCCTCTAAAAAGAAGATGTACAGACTTTGTTTCTTGGCATTATTCCCTAAGTGGGACAGTATGCCAACTATTTATGTAACGTTTACATGTTATCAGATATAAATAAACTAGAGATGATTGAGAGCCCATGGGAAGGGGCCTGGAGAGATAGTTCAGCAGTTAAAAATGTACTGCTCTTGCAGAGGACCAGAGTTCATTGCAGGGGGCGGGGGTATGGGACTCACAACCACCTGTAACTCTAGTTGTAAGGGAATCAGAGGCCCTCACGTGTGCTCGTACACATATAGACACAAAAACATACATGTAAGTAAAAAATAAAATACATGGGAGGACCTGTATAAGTCATATGTAGTATACCATTTTAAAAATTCCTTCCTTCCTTCTTTCTTTTCTTTCTTTCTTTCTTTCTTTCTTTCTTTCTTTCTTTCTTTCTTTCTTTCTTTCTGTTTTTATGGGCCTTTTTCCTACT